TAGTTTTTTCTAATAACTTGAAACAAAACGAATGTATGTACGTATAGTTAATTTATTTACAAAGTTATACTTCTTTTTTGCAGATGACAACTCTCAAAAATGTCGCTTGAAAAAAGTAGACTCAGGTGTTCGTCGTCTGATATTCGCATTATACTTAAATTGATGGTGATTTATTAATACATTTTTTGTTTAGGGATGGCAACTCTACAAAAATTTGGCATAGTATTTCAAATTCTTTAAGTAAACATTTATTTTTGAATCGTGGCAACCCTAGTCAAAATTATTTCTCGAAATATGCGTTTTTATATACTCACACTGGTTCGTATTATACTTAAAGTGTTAGGGTTTTAGTATTGAATTTGTTTAATGATGGAAACATATCTCAAAATTGGCCCTATATATACAGTGACTCAATATCGCAATGTTTTTCAAGGTAAATATTTTTTGTTAATTTTCTATAAAAATATTGTCCAAGCTTTTAGCCTAAATCATATAAAGTTTCAAACTACAAGTAATTTCAACAAATCTTCATCAAAATTTCGAGCTTTTTAGTCTCATGAAGTGCAAGTTTCAAAACTCAAAAATCGTCATCGCGTTGATTTTTAATATTTTTTTCTGACCTTATTATCAAAACTCGTCGTAAGCGCGATTTGTCACCACTCAGTTGAGTAGATTGGACAAATGCCTTAATTGTGGCAACCTCTATACTATGATATATTGAGCGCAAATTAACAAAATTTAACAAATTTTATAGACGTCGAAAGAAACCAATAGCAACTGTCAATTCGATTGCAACCCGCCGATCATTCAATCCTTTGTTCTGGTACCAAAAAACCTTGACTACACGGTCACAAAGGATATGAAGCTTTCACCTCTTTTCACTAACATCTAGAATTTCCTTTGGTGGATTAGCGGACTATCATTTAAGGGCCGACCAGCGTTAAAGTGGGTTATAAATAATTTAATAACTAGAAATTTCTCTATCGCAACTAAAAACTTGGCAATCTATGCCGGGTCCCTAGATATAGAAATATTTAAGGGAATGTATCGGCTGATGAGATAGCCAGATAGGGCTTAGAGATGCGAGTAGAAGAAGCGAATAGCTCCGTACTACCATCGCTTAGTAATCACATTAAGAAAATAGATGAGTAGACTTGTGGAACAAACTGGAAGATTGTGGGATGAGAATATTACTATGGCCGCGGCTTCAGTAAGAGTCCTTACCGGTGTCATCACAAGACACTTTGCTACAGCATAAATGCTCCAACGATCACGAATACCAACAAGTAACTGTGCAGATGCTGCCGTGATGAAGAGCAAGTATAGTAAACATGCCGCTTTCTGTGCTGATGTCCGGGTCTACTTGGATTGACGCTTCTTCAACAATCTGGGCGAGATAGTTGAAGTTGAACTGTTGGATCACCTCGGTTTCATGAGGGATAGTAATTGGTTGAGTAGAGTAATAACTTTAAAGTACGTAGCTACTCTCTCAGAAATTGGTAGGTGTCTCCTCCAATGGAGAATTACCCTCTTAACCTAACCTACCTCCTGCGCGGATTACCTCCTCAGTAATAAATGTCGTAGCCTAGATGTGGACTGAACTTGTTGAGTTTATTGAAAGGCAACATGAAAAAACTACGAATCTAAATATGAAGCACATTTTACGAAACCCCATTTAAATCCAAGTTAATTTAGCGGCTAAAAAGACTTACGCCATATAATCATGTACCGGAGTTCAGATACGAGCTGAATTGTAATCGGAAGTCTCAGAAATTATCCAAGTCTTGAGAGTAATTTGTCTAGAGTGGTTTGTTTTCCCGTTTCTAAGTGTATAACTGGGTCTAGTGCAGGTATCAAGATTAGGAAACGAAATGTTTTAAAATTCGATTAAAGAAATACTAGCAACTAATCATTTTTAAACTATGTACTCAAAATTAAAATCAAAGAAAATCACATACCAAGCCACAGCCTCAGAACAACTTCAAACCCAAAGGCCACCTGCAGGACATTTCAAGAATTAATATTGAAATATCGTCGACAGCAGCGCCATCTTTCGTCAAAAGCTGAACAAATCGACAGCAATAACAGACACAATGAAATCAGGCAAACAAACGAAGATGTCCCTTTGAAGGATTCAAAACACACACAATGAACTCAACAACGACCAACAGGTTTCAAATTTCCACAGAAAACAGGTACACGCAACTAAGCTACGAATAAGAAAGAGCTCCGTAGGCTCAAAACAAAACAAAAAACAATAATCACGTACATATGTACATGACTACACATTTATTTTGAGTATTTCTTTGCTCGCTATGCGCAATTCAACACCAAACAAACGCTCCTGCTGTGCAACGAATTGTGTGAAATTTTTTGAAATTGTTGAGCATTATTTTTGGAAATCGCAAAGAAATTAATAGCTCATCATTGCAAATGGTAAGAAGAAAGGAAATAACTGCTATGCCTACGAGCAGCAAGGCTGTTCGATGGGAAAAAGTGTGTGCTGTGTACAGGACGACAAAGGATCGTCGGTTGTAGGTAAATAAACCTTAGTGACCTTTTTTGGGTTGTGCTCTGCTAGAGAAAAAATCTCAGAGAATAAAGTAGATGTCCTGCAGACATTGAAACGATTATGGATTTGCGGGGATGCTTATAAGCACCTTGAGATTAGTGAGTGCAACGGACGAAGGACAGTCAGAATTTACGAGTTGTATTTGTAGTTTGCTGGCCTTGTAAGGTTATTAGTCGGGTGTATATTGTCCTTGACATATAATTATGTATGTATGTACGTAGATAGAAGCATTCAAATAGGTTGCAAGCATATATTTACATATGTATGTTGTAAAATTTAAAAGGAGTGCAAATTGGCATTTCTTCGCTGCTTACTATGAAGAGGTAATACGAATAGATGCAAACATTTGAGGCCTGAAAGTGTTTAGAGTGATAGCAGCTTTCGATGGTAGAGGCAGGCCTCCTCTGCGCTGAAAAGGTGAGATGGAGAGAGACTTAGCTTGACTAGGTGTTTCTAATTGGCGTCAGTCGGACTGCCGTGCTATGTTGAACTCGGTCAAAATCGTTTAAACGGCTATAGGAGGAAAAGAAGCAAACCCTTGAAACCGACTATTGAGAGGCTGATAGCGAGAATTGAGATTTATGAGCCGCAATGATCCGTCTCTGAAGTGCTTGGAAGAAAAAAAATAATATCCACACGAATTGGCTCTTCCATTGTAAATGCGATTAGACGTGGGCAGATTTCGTTTGCACTGGGTTGGCCCCTCTATACTGGCCATTAATCTACTCAGTGAAGACATTCGCTTTTTATGCAGTATATTTTATTTGCGTCGAAAATCAAATCTTTCGCCGCTAGTTGGAGACTGTGAGACTCTAGCCACTCTTGTTTCCTAACTGTGACTTGGTTTAGTCTCCTTTGAGCTTAGTCAGTGTTTCACGTCGTCTGAGGGACACATTCTGATGTTCAATTCGGGTGCGGGTTTATTAGGTATTATGCTATCAGTGGAATCATGTGTCAATTCTCGATTTACAATTAGCTTCTCAATATACTTTTTAATGATTATAATTTATAAAGCACCGCGCTATTAATTATTAGATGATTCTGCAAGTTAATTTTGCGTTTGTGCATCAGCGCAACGTTCTAAAATGTGCGGTGCCGTGTTGATAACCAGCCAGCGAAATCTGCATAACATGCGAATAAATTCCCAGTTTAGACAAGTGAAAGTTCAGCCTGCTATGTACAATAAGAATTCTTGTGAAAATCTTTAAGTTACGATTGGAAAAACTTCTGTAAGCGTCTTAAGTTACATATATACAAGTTCCCATAGTGCTTTGGATTGTTCTAGACTTGGTGGATAGTCCCAGTAGTGATTTCCGCTGTCGATGCTACTTCCTTTGCATATTTATAGGCAATCTCATTTCCTTCCATACCTATATGCTCTGTAACCCAGAGAACCTGAACTTGGTTCATCAGACAAAGAATGTTCAGCTTATTAAGGCACCCCATCGCCGCTTTTGATGTTTTCTAAAGAGATTTGAGGGTCTTAATAGTCGTTGGCTGTCCGTCTATAACTTAAAACTTTCTTTCTAAAAAATAGTTACATACATTAAATTTCAAAATATTTTTTTTTTATATTTTAACTAAAAAAATATGTATTGAAATAAACCTTTCCTTTATTGGGGATGTAGCCGCCTAAGCGTTTTTGGCCGAGTCCAACTAAAAAAACTACTTTTTACATTATCTATATTTGGTTTTTGTAGAATCCAGGTCCTTGAATTTTCTAAGCCTTATCCCCCCAACATTGATTACTGAAAAACCTATTTCTTTATTTTTTAATTCGAAAAAGTTTATCCTTTATTGATTTTGTTATTTTTTTAGAGTTTTCTGTTTTCTTTAATTTAAATATTCTTCTAACTATTAAAATTATCGTTTAAATTCTTCTTAAAACTAAATAAACTAACTAAACAACTTTTAAATAAAATAATTTACAAACTGCTAAACGCTAAATAAGTACAAGTTTTTGCTTATCAATACAATTACCATTACTACAATTCAGTGCTTTTGTCAAAATAATAAAAAATTCAAAATAAAATGATGCTTATTAACTACAGCTAAACGTTAGACTACTTTTATGCCTTATACATATATTTACAAATAATTTTTGTCCTCCGATTTGCTTTTTTATTAACTTTCAGCGAAAATGCAAATTTTTAAAGCAAATTGTATTTTACTTTTTATGAAATAATTTTCAGTTATGTACATATTTCGCAAAGTAATTTCATTTCTGTATTTATGCCTTAACCCCGCAGGCAATTCGCTGCCCACCGTTGCATAATAAATTCAAAAACATATTTTTAGGTGCACAAACTTAGCCTATTGTCTTTGCTGCTGCTACTCGTAATTATGTAATAGTTACTTAAGTAATATAATTCGTTGGTTTTCTATTTATGTACTTAGGGGCATCGGTAGTAATACTTGAAGTGCTATCTCTTCTTCTCTCCTAAACACTACTCCTGCGTAGCTTATATGCTCTTCCCACTCTGCAACACATTTGCTTACGCTACGACACTCGGTCACATCACAGTTGGCGCCCCCACTAAGCATACAAGCTCAGCTTCGGATGATGATAGGTGGGGTAGCGCACCGCCAGCGGCAGCTCATTACCCACACTAAACACCTGCGATCAGTGTGGATTACGCATTGTATTATTATTCTGCTGCTGCAGCTGTTGTTGCTTTTGTACATTGCCCGACATGAATGAGCGACGACCCGTAGTCGCCATGCCATTACGCAGGGGCAATGCTGGCGGCAATGGTGGTGGTGTGGGCGTTTTAGCCATGCGTCCCTGTTCCAACGGCATCGAGTAGTGTGTATTGCTGTAGATGTAGTTGGCATCCATTACATCACTAGCCGCATCACAGTCGCTACGTGCTGAAGTGCCATAATGCAACGGTTGTTGTTGTAGCTGCTGCAGTTGCTGTTGTTGTTTTTTCAGTTGCTGCTGCTGTTGCTGTTGTGTGAAGTGGTCTTGGGTGAGGCGCAGCTGATGTTGGCGTGCTTCGCAGGCATTCACCCCAGGCGAATGCATCATTGGCACATCGGCGTACGAGTAGCACGACTCACCTACATCTAGCGTGACGGCAGTGTGCGCGAATTGTGGTTTCGTGTAATGGTTCACGCTCTGTTGCGGCTCAGCAACGCTGCCATTGCAGGGCTTTAAACGCAGCGAGTAGGGCGTGCAATCGTCGATATTAACGCCCGCTTGTAGCGCTTTCTTCTCATTCAGCACTGTGGCGGTGGGTACTTGCAGCTGTTGTAGACTCTTCTGTGCATCCGGGGCATTCAAGTCATTGATGGGCATGGTGCAGAAGCCATAATGACGTGCGGCAGCGGGATGGTGGGGCGTATAGGTGTTCGAGAAGGTCGAATGTATGCCCAGACTGCAGGGATGATGCTGATGGCGCGTAATATAGTCCTCATCGCAGAAGGTCTTCTGATACTCGCGTTCTTTGCGCCCTAAAGCCGAGTTTCCCCACACGCCGCTGCTGATGTACTCGCGTATCTTGCGGCGACAGCGATAGAGTATCAATGCCAGCGCGGTTAAAGTCGCCGCCGAGCCAACGAGCAGCGCGCCAATCAAGGCCTGCTTGCGGGGATCGGTGTGCGTGCAGCCCATGAGTGTTGGGTTTAGATTGCGCAAGGCCTCACCATGCAGGCGGTCGGGAAAAGCGCAGTAGACTTCTGAGATTGCATCATTTGTGCCATTCTTTTCCACCAACAAATTGCGTAGCCACATCACGCGGCAGTCACAGGAGATGGGATTCTCCGACAGATCGAGTGTCACAAGATCGCGCCATGGGAATAGGCCTTCCGCTAGTGAGGTGAGCGCATTAGCTTTCAGTATAACGTGACGCATGTTGGGCAGCCCGCTGAGTGCGCCCTCTTGCACTTCGTGTAACATTTTGTTCGACGACAGATTGAGGTACTCCAAGTTGCCGTTTGTGGAGAATGCACCATTCATGACACGTTTTAGCCGCAGTGCGCCACTGATGTCCAAACGCTTCAGCTGCTTGAGACCGACAAAAGCACCCTCCACAATCACTTCAAAGTCATTTTGTCCCAACGATAACTCTTCTAAACGCACCATGTTGCTGAGACTAAAAGTAGGCACACGTGTCAGCCTATTATCGGAGAGATCCAGCTGCCGCAGCTCTTCCAAGCCCTTGAAGGAATCATGCGAGATATTGCGTAGTCCAGCGCCGCGCAGATCGAGGCGCGTCAGTGCGGGCACATCTCGGAAGGCGGCAGACGGCACTGTCAGCAAAGTGTTCATGCCTAAAAAGAGTTCGGCCAAGCTTGGCATAGCCTGAAAAACTACCGGATCTGGCACCGAGGTCAACGCATTATCGTCCAAGTACAAAATACGCAGCTGTGACAAACCGTCAAACGCTTTGGGATCGACAAAGCCGATGCGGTTCTTTCCCAAATTCAGCTCTTCAATTTTAAGCAGCGGTGTAAAGGTGCCCAAATGCAGCTCGGAAATTAAATTGCCGCGTAAATTCAATACCGTTACCGCCGATAGGCCAATGAAAGTCTTATTGCTGATCGCACCGATCTTATTGTCATTCAAATGCACCTCCTGCAGTTTCCTCTGGTAGGCAAAGGTGCGCTGCGGTATGGTCATCAGGTGATTCGAAGACAAATCGAGGAACGTCAGCTCGGCGTAGAATTGTATTGATGAATCGATGGTCTTGATTTTGTTGTTGCGTATAACCAGACGTTGTATGGACGGATTGAGTGCGATGGGCAGCACATCCAATTGGCCTTCGCCGCACTGTACGACGAGTGTATTGTCATCGCACTGGCAGCCAGGCGGACAGTTAGCTAAACCGCGGGTGGAGGCGATGAGCAGCAAGAAGTAAAGTAATGAAATGAAGAAAATTTTTTCGAAATGCGACATTTTCGGGCGTGTGTGTGTGACTTTTGTTGTTGTTTTTTTTTGTTGATTTACAGTCGATAAGACTGTTGTGGTTTTTCGTTGTCGTTGTGATGCGTTACAATGCGTTGTCGAATAAGTCGTTGAGTTTAGCGTGTGTAATGGGTTGGTTTTATAAGCGTTCCATTGCTGCGAAGGAAAAGAAGAGACGCAGAAAAAAAAAGAATGGGTTAAGTAATGCATTGAAGTGGAGGAAATTAATTCAATGTGAAATGTATGGAAATGTGCGAGATACATAAGTAATGAATGGAAGTAATAAAATAAGAAAATTTAGAGGCAAGAAAAATTGAACGCACGGTTTGGTTATATTTGGAGTGCGCTATGCATTTTTTTAGTGCCTAAATGTCAAAACTAATTAAATATTTAAAATTTTCTGTATGTGCTTTGCTCTAGTTTTGCTTTTATTATGCTGATGGCAACAGAGATAAAGCCAAGTTGTTTTTAAAAACTGGCAATTCAAATTTTGTTTTAAATAAATTATATTAACTTTTTTTCTTGAATATTAAGAAACTAGTTTTTTGTAGTTTTTCAATGTGAAATGTTATAATTTAACTAAACTAAAATTTTTTTTTAATTTCGTAAATTTTTTGAAAGTGTTTAATGTTTATATATTCTTTTAAATATATACATACATATATGCATACGTAGCAATACACTTTCTCAATCTAGTTGCTTCTATTTTAAAAATTATATTCCTACTGAAATTTAAATTAAAAATAACAATTTTTCGCAAAACAATATTTATATTTAGCTTTTAAGAAATTCTAATATAACTTCAACTATATAGGCTGGTAGGTCCTGTAAGTGTCGAAAGTTAAATTTTGAAATAATTTACTAAAAGAAAATTTTGTTTGAATTGTAATTCTTACGTTGTAGAGGAGTTAAATATGTAAACACATACCGATTTCGGGATGAATATCAAAGAAATATATGATCAATTTTCATATCTATCAAAAAGCCACTAACGTGTTTTTCACGCGCATATACTTATGTATGTATGTATGTACATCTACGCTTAACGTGTAAAAAAAAACAAGTATCAAAAATATCCATTTTCAAATAAGAAATTTTAACTTTATCAACAGCTATTTCTTAGCACACATAAAGTTTGTCGCTTACAGGTCCATACAAATTTTCAGCGGAGATACGTATGTATGTATGCGTGTAAAAAACGCGGCCAGCATTTTTTTTTTTTTAAATTGCTTAAATTTTTAAATTTTTTGTATAATACAATTTTCTAAATAAATCAATAATTCTGTTTATTTCAAAATTCGGACTTCTTCCCTACTCTTTCATGTAATTTCTTTCGAATTTTATTTATTTTTTTAATCTAAAATTATTTCAAAGCACTTTTTAAATGTTAATGGTTTTGTTTCTTAAAATTAAATTTTTATTATCTACTTTTCAAGAATTCTAAATATACTTTCTCACATAATTAAAAAATTGTTTATGAGCTTAATTGAACTATGAAAAAAAATTTCCAGATTATTTTCAAATACTACAAACAAATTGTAGAAATCGTAAATTTTTTTATTCGAAAAAATTTTTGCCTATTCTATTTTTTTTTTAATGAAAATTTATATACAAGGAATTTAAAATTTATTTAGATATTTTTCTTAGTTTTAACTTTTGAAGAAATAATAAGATATACGTATGCATATCAAGGGATTATGATACAACTTATATCCTAAATCATAAAACCTATCTGCAATTTTCACAAAAATCAACTTCTGATATAGAAATCCCCCGATTAACTGTGATCGATGATGTTAATGCACACCTTGTATATCGTTTTTTAAAAGAATTTACTATTGGATTGCTAAGCAAGCATTAGCAGCAGTAATGCCAGCCAACTAAGTGCAAATGGGTTCTGTCATCAGGCACTAGTTTTTGTGAAAATTGAAGATAACTTGTACTGAATATAGGCCCTGGTCATGTACATATCATACATATGTATGTACGTGTATGCACATTAGTTTGATTGGTAATAGCAAAAATATGGTCCATTATGCTCTAAAAACAGTCTGTGTAAAAGATGACAATTATTGGTCAATATCTTAGGCTCGCCCAAGTCCATCAAAGTTCACAAACAAAAAATAATAGATACATTAATTAATACATTTTTTTACTAAAATTGCAATTATCTTCGGAAGTATTAGTCATACATAATTTGGTATATGGACCTTTTTTGTAGAGAATCGAAGTAAGCTAAGAAAAAAATTTGTTAGCACTTGAACTTTGATGGACATGGGAAAGCCTAATAAGATATTGACCTAAAATTTTCATCTTTCGCACAGATTATTTTTAGAGCATAATGGACCATATTTTTCCTCTTACCATTCAAAATTATAAAAAAAACGCGGATTTTCGGCCCTCGCTATTGCACATTACAACATAATACATATTCCTTTTCTTAATTTTGAAACATATTTACATAATTAAAATCACAAATTTTGAATGAAAAAATTTAAATTTTTTTTTTGTAAAAAGTTTATAAAATCTATACTATTTGTATTTAACCACCAGTTGAAATTTACTGGACCAATAAATTTTAAACAAAATATTTGTGAAACTCCAAAAAATTTTACACATTTTTTTCTTATTTGGGGCATACTTCTCTTTTCATTTTTCAAAACAATGTGTATATTTTAATGAAACAATTAGTTAATTTATTTTTAGTCTAAAACTTGCTGATAATCGTATACATCATTATTAACTCAGCATTTTTTTTAACGAAACGGAAAAAATTTTTTGGCGCCATACTTATACGTACAAAATTAGCGCTGAAAGTCAAATTAATGAAGTTTACTTTTAATTTTAAAATGTCGAGTTAAAAAAAAAGAATTAGAACCGAATTAAAAACTCCAAAAGGTAACTCCATTAAGTGTTGAAATCTTTTTTTAAATTAAAAATGTTTTCAAAATTCGGAAAAAAAAAAATTTATTAATATTTTTGAGCAAAAATTTGGTTTAAAAAATATTTTATGTGGAACATTTTAATGCTTTGCCTATAGGTAGAAGCAGAGCCTTTTGGCGCAAATATCTAGTTACTTTGCAAATTTTTATAATTACTAAAATACGCCAATTTTAGTAGATAGTTTGAAATAATTTTTCAAATAGTATTTTCTTTTACTTTTCACAGAAATTACTTATTATGAAAGTTTTACATTTGGCTATAATTAATCCCACATTTCCTTAAAAATGAAATAGGAATTTTAAATAAGCGCCACCAACCTTTTCCAACTGTTTAGCAGTATCACCACGTGCACATTAAATATCAATAAGCATGCAATTCGTCGATTACGGCAAACTTTTCCCACGGCAGCAGGCAAGCGAAATTCAATCGTTGGTCACTAATTACAATACAATTCGATTGTTTAATAACTTTTTGATTATCAATTTTTAATGGCTTTCGGCATAAAACGTCTAATAACGCATTTCCGTTGACAGCTCGTACAGTTAGTTGCTTGTATTTAGTACTTCACACGCACATACATATATTTGTTTGTTGTTGCTCAGTTTTCATATAAAATCACAAAATTCATTTAATTTTTCATAAAACAGCTTTATGATTTTCATAAAATAAACACTGCTTTATTTCTGTTTCTTCCTTTTTTTAGTTTTCTTTTATTTTATTTTATTTTTTCAAAATCTCCAGCTGCATCACCGTGAGCGATAATCCAAGTGTTCGCTTTAATCACGGCTTTTGCGCCACCAATTTTTTTTTTCAAAAAATCCACACTGTCTTCATTTACATTTGGCACTTTGGAGCTAATTAGCTTTTCACCTTGCACGGCGCTCTTCATTTATGCTCGTATAGATGACGGATTTTAAATTTTTTTGCTTTTTTTTTGTTTAAGTTTCGAAAATGTTCACTGGTGTATTGGTAATAACTATTTCGATTATCCAAAAGTATACAACCGCACACGGCCAAGCAACGAACTATACTAAATCTTCAACGAACTTGACGCGCTAACAACACCTCGGTACGCTTTAGTGGCCCATAGAGAAGCGGCCAAGCGTAAATAATTCTGCTACCTAAAACCAGCAAACAGTCAACTGACTAAACAGCAGCGTACAGCCAGAGTCAGAGTCAGAGACAGAAAGAAGCAGCAGAAACCACCCTAATTGGAGTGTATTTGTGCAGCAACTCAGCTCACTCTGCGCTGGCAAACGAAGCAGTCGTCTACGTTTGGTGGAATACTCGTATTCACGTGAGTTCTCGTAGCTAGGAAAACCAGTTTGCCTGAGCAAAACGAAAAAAAACAAAGCAGGAGCGCCTTGAAAAATGCAATTGTCTGTTGAGCATGCTGAGCACTCGAGTTAAGGTTAGATAGCCAAAATGAGCGCCAATGAGCAGCAAGCAATCAAAAAGGCGGCAGCTGCAGTTTTTCTCTCAACAGCGCTCATAAATTAGCCTCTGCAAGTTTGTGGTTGACTCCACAATTGTGGCTACACCCCAACTTAGCGTGGCAGCGCTCGTTTGGAGCAGCCAGCAGTAAGAATTCTTCACGCTCCAGGTATTCGTAGAGTAACGTTGCTACGAGTTGAGATTCTCAAGTTGAGAGCAAGCGCTGTTGCTCCCAGTTGAGAAGATACACAGTTGCTCAAGTACTGCGTGCCTGTAGAGGTCGCTGCGTTCATTAAGTATGTTGGAAACGCACATGCTTTTTGGGCTCTCTAAAAGAGGCAGACAGGAAATGCATTTCCTGTGCCGCTCACCTTTTCTTTCGCTCATTCACTCAAAAGTCACTCAGTCACTCAGTCACTTGAGTGTTTTTTTTTAATTGGCTTTTTCTGAGCTGACCTTAAGAATACTTGCATCTAAAATGCAGCTGCTTTCAGCAAGGGCATCATGGTGTGGCATTCGAAGGTAATTTTACGCGCAGGCAATTCAATTGGTGTTGCAACATCGCAGCTGTAAGGTAACAAGCAGTATTTTTACTGCAACTTTGCGTCAAGTGGATAGAATTCGTAAAATTAGGCATATGTGTTGTAGTTAAAGCGCTTTTTTTTAAGATAGAAAATTTAATTGCTGCCGCTACTCGCAAGACAGCAAAATTGTATGCTTAGTTAGCAGTCCACCTAGTCATTGTGACCCTAGTTTATCTTTATAAATATTAAAAACCTTCGATTCGATTAAACACCTCCCCTGACCTACGTGTTATTGAAGAGACGAGTTTTTTTCGCGTTGTTCATTCAGCCTATGTTCGCCTAGATCAAATGATCCTTATGAAAGCTTCACTTGAACGAATTATAGGCTTTGCTCTTTCCTAATTTTTGCTACACAACCTGCACTGTTTAACCAAAATGTGCCACACCAAACTTGTTTAGTTGCTTCAATAATCTCCAATGGGCAAAAAGAAAGCCTTTGCTATTCGAATGGCATAACTAGTGACTAGAGTGTTTTCTATTTCCCAGCTGATATATCTAGAATTAAGATGTTGTTCTCTATTTGATATCTCCTGAGGTCCTTCATTCATGTTGAGCCTGTCTCAAAAATCTCTGTGTGACTGATGTTTTGGTCAACCAAGGATCTGTCAGGGTTCAAAATCTTACCATTATTGCAAGGTTTAGGTGGTTCGCGTTTCTCATAGCGTCCGTGTGGAAAGAAAACGTTGATATTTTGCCTAAAATTAAAATCCAGAAGTCATTTATTCGGTAACGTACAAGTACTTAGTCCTTTCTACAGACAGGGCCGAATTTATGCACAGGCTACATAGGCGCTAGCAACGTGAAAAATTAAAAAAATTATATCAGGAAAAAAAGTGAAACAAATAAGCAAAGTCGTTTCGTGGAGTCAGCGGCTGGTAAACGGAGTACGCGTGCCACCGGCACAGCCATAGGGTTTAGGTTGATACCACTCACTCCCGCGGCCGCAGTTTCAACAGCCATGATCTAAGTCACTGTGATTACAAATCTGAAGGATTGATTTGGTTAAGTTTTGTACTTTCTATGAGTACGCCTGCCCACATAAAGCTTTCTCGTCGACTTGGTGCTCGGCTCGCTCGTCAAAATAGTGAATTTGTCAACATTACACTTTTCAATAAAAAACGTAGTTTAATTTTTTTTTTTCAAATTGTAAAAATAAATAATTTATAAAAAGTATAAATAAAGAAAATATTAAAAACGGTGGCTGTTGTCGTTGCGTACGATGCACTTCGCTACAAAAAGAAATGAGAACAAATTATGTTTGCTCCGGACGCAAGAATGCACTGTGCTTTAAGTGTTTTACTCGCTACCATAAATTAGTACTTTTCCAGCAAGAAAAAAAAAGTTTATCAAATATTTAAATAATAAAAAAACTAAAGGGTCAATTTAATTGTTATGTTCAAGCATCTAATTGGGACATATTGTCCCAGCATAGACTGTTATTGGGACAATATGTCCCAGGATAATGTAAGGACTTAATGATTTTTTAAGTATACGGAACATTTATTTTTTTTTTTATATATTATTTTACCTTGGGAGAGCGGAAATAAAACTCCGTCGCGAAAGGGTTAAGGGTTAAACAGCTCGATGCAAAAAAACTTAAGCCAACGAATGTATTTTGTGGTGCAAAGAAGATCATAATACTAGTGGCAGATATAAAAGAAGCATATGCCTTATTTCGACTAGTTTTGTCTATATTTCTTTAGTTTATTTAGATTACCTCATATAAATGCAAGCATTTAAATGCGCATTTCAAAATTTGTACAAAAATTATAAAATGGAATATACATACATTCACCAAAATTTTTAAATTATTAAAAAATCAAGGGTATTTTAAGCTACTTGAAACTTGCACTTTATCCTACTAAAATTTAATGGGCTATACTATCAAAACTCGCGAACCAACGAAGATACATATGTATGTGAAAAATTAAAACGGGTTTTTTTCGTTCAGTACCCATACTACTATGCAGAACAAAAAAGAAATTTACGAGGTTTAAAATTTACGAAGTCTGGAGGGAAACCGTGGCCGCCGTTTGCCTTAGTACTACCAGGGGTGTCTGCACCATGGAAAACCCTAGGGGCCCATGGATTCTAAATCCGGCACTGCAGCAAGGTGAAATTATATATATGTAGATATATAAATATTAATTTTCCATCTCAAAAGCCTCAAAACTCTGTTGAAGTTTTTTTTTGCTAGCTGTTCTAGTTCTCGAGATATTCGAATTTGTCATGAAAAAAATTCAATTTCCACACTGTGCGCCGTGTTTCAGTAGACAGTTCTTGGCAAAAACTCAACTATTTTCCAAGCGAAAAGTTCACTGGGAAGCTCGCACGCATGGCACACATAAGGACATAAGTATAGTTAACAAGCTATGTAACGGGTGATTTTTTTGAGGTTAGGATTTTCATGCATTAG